CGATCAACCTTCGGGATATGAAACCAATGACAGCGCCCCACGCCGATCTGGACGTGTTACTACTCCTGCACGACAAGCCAGTGGGATGATCTGTCCCCCTTCCGACAGTCGACAGTCACTACCCAGCTCATCTTTTACCTTCTTGATCAGACCTCGTAATTCTTCGACCACCAAACAAGTCACCAATCGAAAGCGAGTCCGTTCTCAATCTGAATCAGAAACCCTTCCCGACATCAAAACCAAAAACAAATCAGACGTGCCTGAGATCATTAGTACTAACATACAAAAGATCGCTCCTGCCCGCGGTCGTCAATCTCAATCGGGGACGAGGTCAAGCCAAGCCAAGTCCAAGTCTTCAAAGTCAAAATCTAGTGCTCAGACTGGCCGAAGCAAGGAGGCTCAGGCTGAGTTGGTGAGTCGTTTCATTAGATTCTTTCATATCATTATTAAGTTTGATGCTAATGGTGTGTATTGTTCTTACCACTTTGTGTAGGTCTTGGCTGCTGCTGCTGGGGCAAATCCTGACCTTGATCAAGACTCTGATGAAGACAACCAGCGTGTACGCAAGCGGAATCGCGGGGCCAAGACCATTGGTCAAGGTGAAGCAGATGCGATCGAATACAATCCACCTATTCTGTTCTTTGGTGCACCCTTCCGTCGCCCACATGATGTAAGTCTTTTTTATCACTTCTATTCTTACCGCATGCTAATGATGTCTTTATATGTGATAAACTTTCAGGATCCTTTGGCACCTCCCTTGACACTCAAATGTAAGTGGTGTCAAAAGGAGGTCCGCATCAGCGGGACTTCAAAATCCAACCTTCGTGTCCACCGCGACGGATCTAGCCAGTCCGGTAAAAACAAAGCCGGTTGTCCTCGTCGAAGAGATGCGATCTTAGCAGGCGCCCATCTTCCTCCCACTCAAGCCGATCAACTGGCCAGCCAGATCCGTGATAGTCATACCCACTCGCTTGATAATTTTCTCCTTCCTGTTCCTGAATTTGATAACCTCGTGGTTAATCAAATGATAGCCTTATGGCAAGTCAATAACAGTCTCCCATGGACCATAATCGAACATCCAATGTTACGGGCAGTTCTTACATACCTTCGACCCGGTATCAAACTTTACAAACAAAAATGGTCGGCAGATGAAGCCAAGCGTCTCTATGTTGGCCTTCAGGACAATTTAGTTGCGGAGCTTAAGGTGAGTTACTTTATTAATTTTATATTCTTGACTTTGTCCGTCGTATTGATGTGAAAACGTATTGATTTTATGTTTTTGATTTCATCTTATTTCGAATCGGTTAGACCCTCCCTGGGATGTTCACTTTAATTCAAGATGTGTGGACGGTTTCTCGCAACCGACATGCGTTTATTGGGGCCTTAGTCGCTTTCGTGGACAAAGACTGGAACTTTGTGATACGCCACCTTTGTTTGAAACTGGTTGCATGGCATCACCGAGGTGAATGGCTTGCAGCCCCTGTAGCCAAAGTGCTGAAGAAGCACAACCTTTGTAAAAAGATAAGTATTATTTCGTTCATTATTTCTTTGCTTTGATTCTAACTATCTTTTTGCAATTATTACATGATAGCGATGGCGTCAGATTCAGGATCCAACAACAAGACTTTGGCATCCGAGCTTCAAAGACAATTCATTGAACATGACCCCAGCTCTCACTGGAACCCGAAAACCATGCATATCTTTTGTATCTGCCATAAGACTGGCCTGATTGTTCATGCCGGGTTGGATGCCCTCGGAATCTCACCCAAACGACACCGACCTGCAAACTTAGCCAGCTTTCCCAACATCAACGTGATGGAAAGTGTTGCAGAAGAAGATGAAGCAATCATGATTGACTTTGATAAGAATGAACCTTTAAATGATGATTCCGAGGATGAGAATGATCAGCATGATATTGGCAACCTTCAAGATTCAGATGAAGACAACAAAGTTTAGGACGACTTACCCGAGAGTGGTGATGAGAACGAGCATGTCGAGGATCCGGAACCGCCTCAAGAATCATTTACTCGTGCCAAGAAAGGCATGCCTCGTACTCGCATGGCTCGTTTGATCAGGAACGTAAGTGTTCATGAGTTATTCATCATTAACAAATACTTTACTGATTGAGTGTGACTTTTTCAGCTCAACATCGTCAACAAGAAGCTGACTCGATCCGCTGCGTGGCGAGAGGACTTCAATCGACGCCGCACAGCTTTGAACAAGAAGCGGCAAGATGATGGACAACCAGCTCTCCTTGCCCTCTTAGCCGAGTATGGCATTAGATGGAACATCGATCTCGATCGATGGGAGCGTATGTATGCTGCACGTGATGTAAGTGTCATGTTTGCCTCGGGGGTATGTTGGATTTAAAACTGACCTTAACTTGTTTGTTTTATGATTTATCTTGAAGATCATCGATGAGATGATGAAAGAAGATCTCGCAAAGGTTCACGCGAAGAAACACCATCCTCGAAAGAATGCAGGCAAATGTGGCTACTTTCAAGAACTTGTCTTCTCAGTGGGCGATTGGGAAGCTCTCCAGGAAGTCATCCAGGAATTGATCGTGGGTCGTTTTCTATCTCACTTTGATGTAATTTGACTTTCATGCTGATAATCAAATACCAAACAGCCCTTGCGAGCCTTGTGTAAGAGAATGGAGGCTGATGCCCCTACTGGATCAATGGTACTATACAAGTATGCTGAGTTGATGAAATCACTTACCGAACGGCTTGATTCACTTGTGGACGACGACCCAATTTACCCGATGATCTATGAAATGTCTCGACGAACCACCATTTACATGGATGAGGCTTTGGCCTGTGACTCCCTAGTACTAGCAACAATCTTCCATCCCAGTTTTCGCCTTGGCTTCTTTTCTCTGACCTTTGGAAAAGACGATGTGATGACAACACACGCGGAGGATTTGCTTCGCTCACGATTCGAGCAGCGTCAGCAAGAGATCAACTCCAAAACTTCCATCAACGACAAAGTCACTGTAGTCTCCCCAAACTCAGTCAAACATAAGGTACCCAAGGTCTTCCAGCTCTACAAAAACGCCAACACTGCAAACGATCTAGGTGAATTGGATCGGTACATCCAAGGCTTAGACCCTGTGAGCTCTGATGATGTGGACAAGCTAATGGATCCAAGAATCACTCTTGATTGGTGGAGTGTATGTAATAATTCTATTCTCTCATGACTGTTCATAGCTGACCTCGTTTTGTTTGACTACCCACAGACTCATGAGGGCAAGTACCCTGTATTGGCATCGTTAGCTATGGATTATCTTAGCACAATTGCCACTTCCGCACCTGGAGAACGCCTCTTCACGCACCTGTGGCCCCCAGAATGTTCGGCCCCAAGCCGAAGATAATGCATGCATTATCAGCGGCTTATGTCCGAAAATCGGCCTGCAGATGAGGGCAGATGCGGCAGATGAATCTGAGAAATTTTTTCGAAATACCTACCCAAGTCTTTACAAATCCCAATCATAAGATCTTCAAGTTAATCAAGCTTCTTGGTATTCTTAACATGTATTAGAATGTATGTGTAGCTCATGGACTCATTTCCCATCCCTGAAGTGCCTATAAAGGTGACAAAGTTGCCAAAAATCGAAATCTGAGTCATCTGGCCAAATCTGGCCAAGTCTCAGATTCATCTGCATGGATACAAATCTGAGTCCCGTGAACTCCCAAGATTCATCTGGAGCTGTAGCAGATTGATCTGGCTACTCATCATTCTGGCTACCCATCAAGCAGATTCATCTGCTGCATATACCCCGCATTCACCTCATGTACATACATACATACCAAGACTCCATTCAAATTTCACCCTTGTCAACCACTGTATACTTCAAAGCTCACATATGCTACGGTACATACTACATATAATAAGTTGGGATCAAGATCTTTCCGCCACTAACCTCGGGGGAGACTCATCTGGGCTCATCTGAGCACCCTTGAACTCGAACAATGATTTACTTGCCCACACGTATTTCTAGCACTTTAGTACACAAATAAACAGTTTTAGTCTTCTTTTCTCTCTCTTCATAACTTTTCTATATCTAATCATTTCTATTCTTTCAATCCAATAGCCCGAAGTACAAAAACTTATTGAAGATGAGAGATATTGACAATACACTTATAGCATCAGAAAAGTAAGTCCTTTCCGAAAAAAAGGACCTCAATCGATCCATCAATCAAACTCATCAAATTGCATTTTATCTTGTTGCCAGTTCAACTTCTTTGGCAGTCATGGAAGCTAATGGATTGATCTTAACTAATAAATATTCAGAACGTTTACCAAATGCAAGATATTATGGTGGAAATGAATTTATAGTTAAATTAGAAATTTTATGTCAAAATAGAGCTTTCGAAGCTTTTAGACTTGATCCCAAAGCTCTGATGGGTTTCTGAGACCTGCAGTTTTCAAAAGGTTCTTAGCTTCCCCAATAGTGAAATAGGCATTGTTTGGCCAAATGAATATAACACACGCATAGGGTGGCCCCGGTCTCCCATATGGGTGTGTGTACTGAAAGCTGGCCTGATGTGATTAAAAAACCACGCCACGCCCGGGGCAGATAGATCTGCCCTCATCTGGCCAAAAGGACACTTGGCCAGATACATCTGTACGTAGTACATGTCAACTCATTGTATAAAAAAACTGTTATGTTTCCTAGCAGGGCTTAATTACTTGCCCATGTGTGTGTTAAGAGGCAAAAAAAGAATCGAATATCAATTGCAATTCATGGAAAAAGAAAGAGAAATTGACAACAACAAAAAAGTATTCAAAGGAAAATTATTCATCTGGTTAATTTTTTTTCTAGCAGCGCTTATATCTTGCTCATGTGTTTTGATGTAGAGTCAAGAAAAGATGACAAAGAAGTAAGATAATATTTTGATTCACCAACAAAAAAGGTGTGATGATCATCATTCCTCATCATTGTCACTACGGCCCTCAGTAGAACTTCCACTCCCTTCTTCATCATCGCCTTCCTTTCTTGCCCCTTTATCAACAGTAGACTCTCCAATACTCAATACTTTGTCTATATTGCGAGGTGTAGTGCCTAAGGCAGTCTCAATATCCTTACTATCTAAAGCTACCGGCTCACCAACTGTTTCTTCTGTTCCCACTTTGAGCTGAATCAACCGAAAGAGTCCTTCTTTAATATCATTGACCCAGTCAAGTCGTGTTGCCGATTGCATCTTCTTGAATCCAACAGTGAGCTTCTCATCGGTTATTCTAGAACCTTCTGACATGATAACTGCCAATGGCAAAGACCTATTTTTCAATTCTGCCACCGGATCAGCAGTCTGTGGGAATGCTTGTTTGGGCAAGTAACCTAAAGTTTTGTCTGCGATTGAACATAATCAGAACAACGAGGGAGTTGAAATTGAGAGACCGAGTATTATTCAAAAAACCTTACGTGTGAGAGCCGCCAGAAGACGTCCTAAATCAATCTTGATCTTGTCACTAGGCTGTTGCTTATCGCTTTGTTGTCGTTTTTTCGATTTGGTGTTGTTGACCGAAGCAATCGCCTTTGCCATTGATTCGCCTTGCGAGTAAGTAGCAAAGACCGTAGCAAGGTGTACAGTCTTGTTAGCCCAAGTTGCTACCGCTGGATGAGCCGTAAACTCGCGTAGCCACCCCAAATCGACGGATTTGTTTGGAGTAACGGTACTTGTGGCCACCATGTAGTAGGCAAAGTCCAACCGGTTGGCTTCGCATGCAAGCTAAAAAATATCAAAACATAAGCCACTTTTGTCAAGACTGATTCATTCAGTAAACAAAATACAACCAACCTCATGCGCAATTTTTTCAATGGCATTCTTCGACTTGCGTTGAAGTTGAGAAGTTGACGGTCCAGTTGATGGATTTTGTATTTCACGTTCAACCTTCTTCAAATCAACTAACTTGTCGTATAAAGGGCGATAAAGTTTGTCTTCTTCGATGGTGAGTTTGTGAACCTTGGGAACTGGGACAAACGAGTCACCATGATCCTCTTGTGTTACTTCATCATCATCACCGTCCTCCTCGTCCGGGTCTAAAGTAAGGGGGTTGGGTACACCAGCAAGAGCATAGAAGATTGTGGGATGAAACATTGCCCTCGCGTCGTCAGAAAGGCTGTCCCATCAATCACCATTCTTCCGGTTACGTTCACCCAGCACAGTGCCGCTGTCGTCGTCTCCTTTCAACGGCACTAGAAGGAACACATAAGTTTGGTAATCACACTGCTCAATATGAGGTAAAAGTTCCCACTTACTTGGCTCCGATAAACAATCTAAGGAATACTTGAGGAATACAGTATAAGCACTGGCAGCTCTTTTCGCAGCAACTTCAGGTCTGCAAAGTGTGTTTCCAATGATGTGAGTGAAATAGATAGAGCATGTAGATTAAGAGTATGAAAGAAAGATCTAGCTAAAAGGTCACCTACATATAGGACTTGATAGTGCTTTCGCTCACTTCGCCTATCATAGCAAGCATGAGAAGCTCCTGCTTGAAAACTTTGTAGACTAACTTAACACGAGTTTGAATTGCAGATGATGGGCGATTACGAGTATTAGTCTTATGATTTTTGAGGTGTTTTCGAATTCGGCCAGGAGGCCATGATGACATCAAGCTTTGGTAATTTTCGAGCGTTGGAGTTTCATTTACATGACCAGTGTTTGAATCATGAGTGTTGTTCAACGCGCTAGGATCAGTTGTGTTGTTCTCTTGGTTGTTACAAACTCGTTTGGCTGGTGGCGCCTTGCGTGCGGGAGGTCTCTTTGACAAGTTGCCTCTGGTACTTGCGGTACTGGTGGGCTCCAAGCGAGTTGGAGCTGTGGACTGACTGGCAGGAGCCGTTTCATCGGTTTGGGTAGGTTGTTGATCGCGAGAGGCTGAGCCTTGGCGGGTTCGACGAGTTCGAGGAGGCATAGAGGATCTCTGGTCCCAAGTAGTGCAGTCGGAAAAAGATTATGGTGATCAAGATGAATCTGGTTCCAGCTCCGATTGATTCCGATTTTGAAATTCATCAGATTCAACATACCTTCAAACAGTAATGTAGTAAATATACATTTTGGTCTGTACTGACCTCGTGGGTGATACAATACACAATACCAAGGTCAAACACTTGAAGAATTGAGAATGACCCCTGACCTCTTTCGAATTGAAGAGGGGTATAATAGACATGACAATGCCCGGAAGACACCAGTTGACCAGATGGACTGCTCTTGCAATGAAATGTTTTGTACACCACAAACCGTGCAGTGAGCGCATCCTTCAAGTTTTCAGTTTCTTTGGTTGCTTTAAGTGTCTTCCCTTCGTGCTTAAGGATGTCGAGTTTTAAAATGAAAAAAATATAAACAAACTGATGGGACAACGCATTGAACACACTTACATACTTTGATGTGATATCTGCCATGATATCATTTATTGATATATAGGTTTTAAGTAATGTTTTATATAGAAACACATTTAATCTATTATAATTTAGTGGAAGCTGGTTGGATAGGTAGACCTGTTATATGCTGTTATATACAAACAAACTGTTCAAGAAGATATTTTAAGGGATGTTTGAATACGGTTTATGCAATAAGAACAAGAGATTAGAATTGTTAGTAAAATAGTAAACACCCATATGTGCTCTGATGTGATAAAATCAAGCTCCAAGAACCCCTGCAGTAGCCCTTTGAGATGTTCTTATATACCAATAAGCTGCTTAGAAATATGTTACCGGATTTTGGAATACAGAGTTCATCCAAGAAGTCAAAGATATTAACAATATTGTCAATAAAATAGTAAACACCCATACACGCTCTAAGGTGATATTTCCAACAAAATACTTAAAGATGAGCTGGAGTAATACTGATGCTTGTAGATATTTATATATACCTATGAAGTATCTGCCATATATATAAGAAGTTACTTGTAAATATTTGGATTACAGACAAAAAAGATGTTGATTGCACTGTTGCAAAATTGAGCAGGACAGCACAGTGGACACTCCAATTTCAATGTGGCCCCAAAGGTTATATTGCAGTAGGGTAGTGTTAGAAATTTTTGTAAAGATAAATTATCTAGAGAACTACTAAAACATCTTTGGAGGATATTCCATTAGCGCTGAAAAATTTATTAAGAAAGTGGAGCAGTCATAAAGTGTCACTTGGGAGTCTTCTTTGGAGACACGGTGCTCATATAAAACTTTTTCAAATTTCAGGTTGAATTCAAAAACAATTCATAGTTGTGATGGAATAGTATCACTCTATGAATGAGCGAGTAATCTTTCAGTGATATCTTTTATGTTTGGTTGATTGCATGTGCCGTTTACTTTCTGATATTGACTATCCTTTGGTAAACACCACAAAAAAGGAGCAAAGAGCACTGAAAAATTAATTTCACCAAAAAGTTGAGAGTTGATCAAGTCATGCTATACCATCATAACCCCGCATCAATTTTGAATTTAACTTGAAAATTGCAGAACTTTTATTTGAGAATTGTGTCTCAAAATATGACTCTCATACGTTGAGAGTCACTGGTGAAATCACAGAAACTCAGCAATAAGCAAAAAACTTATATGTTGTAGGTCATACATCAAAAGAGGGATGGTAACCCATCATGGAAGGAGGAGATTTTTTAACTTACCATGAAATCTGAGAAACTTTCATTTGAGCACCTCAAAATATGACACCAATGTGTTGATTTTTGTTATCTTCTTGTTCTTCAAGGATCACATATGCAACCAACCCATCATATTTAGGTGAAGTTGTCTTATTTATTACTGTTTAGCCTTATGAAATTATCTAAAAACACTACTTGCCTTCATCTCGAAAGGCTATCTGTGTAAATCTCACATCGAAGTACATATGGGTGTTTGTTATTTTGTTTCAATCACTAATGTTTTAATATCTTTACATTTATGATTCAATATTCTTCAAGTAAAACAAATTGAATATTTGTATAAAATCATTCATTTATCAAGAACCATCTATGAACCCTTCACCTCATCTTCAGCCAATGTTTGTGAATGTTGTGTTATCGTATGTACATATTCATTATTTTGTTGAAAATTATTTAAATATCATTCTCATTTCACCTTCAAATACATCTTCAAATAAACTGCCACTTACATCTGTTAAATCTTGAACACATTACTTAACAGCGGTAACTTGGGATGTCATGGCTATGAGGCCATCTCAAGATTTGAAGAGGCAATTTGAAGGTGATAGTGTCAATAGGTTTGAAACCTAGTATTACTAAAGACTGAACAGTCGGAATGAATGATGTACAACAGAGTTATGAGCTTGACAACTATCATTGGCTACTATAGTCTATCACCGGTTCAATTGCTCTATCTGTGGCTTAGTTTTCAGGACTAACTTTCAGGTAAACTGTCCAACAGACGGTTTACTTTTCAACAGACAGGTGAAATAAATGGAACAGAACTACCGCAAATGGACATGCCGATAATCTTCCGAAAGTGGTGAATCGATTGGAAAAATTATAATCATATAGATCACTGGGCATCTCAGCACTTCATAAGATTGCTACGTAGTACCAAAATACCACATCTTATCTCGTTATCTCGTCGTCAATATTCTTCTATCGCATGGCTCCTGGAAAGAAAGGCAATCGATTGCTTCCAGTAAACCGGTTTAACTAAACCTAGGCAAGACTCGAGTCAATCATCCAAACAGTTGTCCGAATGGGACAAAATCGAAGAAGAGTATTGCGCAAAAGCATGCGACTCACTTGTCCGTGCACTAATCCAGCAGCCAGATGTTGCTATGCCTTCTACAAGCGCAGCAACTGACAATGATCATGCTATACATGGGAACGAGGGTTTCTATGGATTTGATTATGAACAACCCGACTCACCTCCTTATGATGAAAGTGATTCGGAAACAGAATCATATGATTCTGAGCAGTCTATTGCTTCAGATACTGATCTTGGTGTTGCTCAGAAGGCGGGTGAGTATAATCAACGGCGTCGAATACGAGAGGTACGACAATGGGAGGAGATACTTGAATCAATGTTCAAGATTTTCATGAGATGCAAGCTGCTCACTTTCGATTGGAGCCAAGCTGAAACTTGGAATTTCGACACAAAAGACCAATGTTGATGCTCGGTGGCGAAGAAACGAATCCGGCACCTCGAGTTGGTGGATATATTGAGTGAGAGACCTTTGGTTCACTGTGTATCTGCCCATATTCAAAGATATATGTGTTCTCTATCCTATAGCACATGATACACAAGCAGTAGAATTCTGCTCGTGCCAATCAGACCAAGTCAGGCTGATTCAGATGGGCTACATCGGCGGTTCCCCATGAGTCCTGCCGGAGATTGCATTCTTGTTAAGACTTCTCCGGCTACACGATGCCCTCTGGAGGTTTTGCTGTGTGCGAACACATCCATTTGCTCAAGCACTCGATTTTTTTCACCGAGCGGCCCTAGGATTTGTAGAGGATGTCACGAAAAAGGTAGGTGCTATAATTCTTGGCGTTCAAATTTGAATTCTGAAAACTAATTCCAGGATTGATATCACCAGCCGCGGAGATGGGGGAGACAGTTTTCTTGTGCAGTAGATGCATACCGACGCTTGATTCAAGTGAAAGAAAATCTGGGTTTCCGTGCGATGGAACTTTCAACAAAGGAAAAGCTAGGGGCCAATTGCCCACGCTGTTTTGGCGAGAATGTTTACGCCAAGAAAGAAGGGGAGCCAGACTATGTAGTATGTATTGATGGAAATTTTCAACAGAGACGACATAAGTCAGCAAGTGTCGAGGTCAGCGCAATTGAGATTCGATATCCAAATCTCTTTCTTCATCCAACTGAGGTCAATAAGTGGGAAGATGTACATCCTACCTCTTCAATTGATTCGCCGGTAAGTCAGTTTGCACTCAATCCATATCAATCAATGTTCTTTTCCATAGAAGCTTATAGCCCTTAAAACTTTTCCTCCTTTAGGATCCTTGCACGCGGATGCACACTGCAGCTGATGATTCACAGAATGCCTCTACGTGGCGTGCCTGCGACAA